CGCGTTTCATTTGAGTAGGAGCTGACTGGTTAGCAAAACCTATTTACTTTCACGATTACCATCCCCGCCTCGGTTAAGGCGACACTTTGCTGTGAACAGTTTTTACATTTTTATTATTTGTATCTTAGCTACTTATGAGTAACAATGTTTGAAAAGTAATTACGGAGTCAATTTTGAGCGGATCAAACGAATAGGGGAAATGAAGATGAAGCGTGGAAAACGGTCTGTCAAAACTCGTAACCATATTAATCCTCTAGGATAAATGAAAAAATTCAAAAATAATTATATTTGTAAAGGAATAAGAATTAGAGTGTCTCCTGGGCCTGTCACGGTTTAATCATACTCCAACTGTTTGTTGATGCCCTGTTGATCGTTATGGTCATGACCAAAACCGTCTCGGTCCGAGTTGGTCGATCTAAGTTACACCCCCCTCCCCCTTGCTANTACAGTCTCGTTTAACCATCCAACAATAAACTTCCAATTGAGTTTATTACTTCACTTTTCTTAAATTTTTAAATAAAACTTCTAATCATTCCCAAGAAATTGTGATAAATTACGCAATAAATAAAAAGCTGATTCAAGCAATATGCACGCTCCACATATAGCTTGACAGTCATCTTCAGTATCCGACTCAATGGAAAACTTACCATAGGACGGAGAAAAGTTGTACGTTGTTGGGTCAAGATTCGCTAAAAGCAGTGCAGTAAAATTATAATGAACATGATATAAGAAACCATTCAAAATCCAGGGATTCGTCGTGTACGTATTTAAGCTTTCTCACTTTGCTTAGTGATGGAAATTTCGAAAACCCAATAACGTATTCAGTGCACGGATGAAAATGAATCCATTCCAACTTAGATTACAAAGAGGCAGTTTTCCTCGTGTTATCCAAACCATTATGTTACCAATATGAGTCACGTGATTTTTATCACCTCCAACTGATTAAGGGTGCGGGAGAGCTGGAGTGCGCATTTGACCCGACAGCAAATTTGCGCATGTCTTTTTCTCTTTGTTCCATTTTGAAGATGCTTACGTAGGTTTCTAACACCCATGAATCAAAGGGGAAATTCGTCATGTATGTACAGCAAACGAAGCGTGAACTGAAAAGCTAGGATGCATTGGACGGCTGTTGAGACTTGGTTAGATCTCATCAGTAATGTGAATCCAGCGACCCAACTGGGTTGAATCGAACCCGGGGTCTCACAGGCAGGGCGTAAGCATGCCACCCACTCGGCAACCGGGCAGTTGAAACCGCTATTCAGTGCGTCCTAGCTTTTCAGTTCCCGTTTCATTTGCTATATAGACGACGAATTTCCCTTTTGACATAGAATACCCCCCCCCACACACACACACATACACACACCCTCAATTACTCACATCAGACCTATAAATTATCCGGAAATCACAGTACTGGGGTCAATGCAACCTCTAGGGCACTTGTTTGAGAACAAGCATAATTGTAGCACAAAATCTTGGAATATTTAAAAACCAAGGCAGAAATATGGAAAACCGGTTAGGAAAAGTGGATGATATATGAAATCGATAGAGATGGATGAACACTCTGCATTGCCACAATCCAAAGGTAAACAGTTTTGAACCAGTTTACCGTTCCGGACACCCGCGCACGCACGAGGTACAGCATTTCCCCCAATATTTAAAATACTTTCAATCATTCTTTTGTCAACAGATGTGGCCAGTCTCCAGTCGGAATACGGAAGATCTATCCTCGATAAAGCACTCCAGAAGTAAGTGACACATCACATTGTAAAACTACCACTTTATTTACAGTTCTTAGCATGCTTTTATCTATTGTTGTGGCTGTTATCCTTTGTGGTGGTGCTTGTTTGTATACGTAAACTGTAATCATGGTTCAGTTTACCCTTTCTGGGGGCTCCAAATTGGATGAAATTCTGACAATTAAGATGCAAACTAGCGTACATTTTGCAATTCCAGTTGTCCGAATATTATAGCAAGATATCCGGCTATCATCTCAAGCCGTCTCCTTATCCTCATCAGCACTGCCAGATTCATGTACATTGATCCTTACACAAAACTGGCTCTACTGTATCCACTCCCGATGTGGAGATGGTCTGAAACGTAAGCGTTTTGCCAGGAAAATAACTATAATTTAACTACTCATTCTTTTTAAGTAGTGCATTTGTATAAACAAATAAATAAATCTCATTTCATGTGGGTAATGGAGAATTTCGTTAAATTTCAAATGACGATTCGTCGTGTATATAGCAGTGCTTCCGAGCTTTTCAGTTCACGCTTCATTTGCTGTATACACGACGAATTGTCATTTGAAATCGCATTTCAATTCAGCTGTATTGGAAGTATCACGGAATAATTTACATCGACATCGACATCATCCGTCAAATTTAAGCTTCCCACAAAACCCTTAGTTTATTCTGTCAGTTATACACCCCAGAAGTATTAGATTCGAGGTTCGTTATAGTAAGGGTTCACCAGCACTGGTAATCCACCGAGCTACTCTAGAGCTGAACTTCAGAATCATCATGGAATGGCTGGTTTATCATCGTGCCGAACAGATCGAAACCGGAACTGACCGCGAACCAGTTCCAGTTTCATTTTCAGATATCTCACAGTGACTAACAGTCACATTACAGCTAGGGCCACACGTTCACCGTTTGAATTCCCATATCTTCAGTTTGGGTGATTTGATTTAAGTGGATTTAACAGGTAGCTAACTGTGTTAGTTACCATCAAACCCAAATGACGTGGTTGACCATTATTTACGATGATATCTTAATAAGACTTGAATTAATAAGTCTTCTCACTATCTATCTAAAGTAATTAGCACAATTTTAACACAATACTGCTACGCATATCGGCTTCGCTGTTCAAACCCGGTGTGAGTCGATGAATGTGTATTACAGCTGAGTCCTGCGAAGAGTGAAACACCAGTCTAGTGCTTCCCAAGAATGTAGATTTGTGACTGACTAAAAAGAGTTTTTTTCGGGGTGAAGATAAGGTTCGAAGATTGTTTATTCCGATCAAAATACTTGAAAACTCATGACTAACATTTTCCGAGGGAAGAAAACGAGGTTTTTGAACCGTTATCCATTGTTGCCCTTTTTCAAACTGTTTGAACGTTGATTGACGAATTAGTCCCACAGAGCAGATTCCAAATAAAGATAGAATGACAACTAAGCACTAAGTTTCATTGACTCGTATTCTTACCAATACATCACTACATATAAAATTATCACTACTTGGGGATAAAATTGACTTGAGAAAATAAAATAAAATAAAAGATTACAAGAAACAATTTCATTTTGAGACCAGAAATCAGATTCCACACGATTACCTTGTTTGTGCATTCATCCGATCATCGAGATTACTCGTGATATGGTGTGTGGGGTTCGACCGGGGAAGCTTCAGCGCCTGCGCAAATTGTTTTCAGGCACACAGAGAGGGGTTGTGCGGACGAATCGCCACCGCTTCCGATAGCGAACTAGCCCCTACAATCAACCGCAAACTTTATACAGGGGCGTAAAACCGTATCAAGAGTATTCTCGATCATAGGATGAGTGGACAAACAACTATGTGATCGTGGTGAATCTGATTTCCGGTCTCATGATGAAATCGTTTCCAGTAATCTGTTATGCGATGTGATTCCATTTGTTTTTCCGAAGACAGTTTTATTCCCAAGTCGCGATATGTTTAGTATGTATAAAGTAGCATCTAACCTACCTTCGAAATATCGAAACATAGCATGAATTCTTCAATGAACTGTCTCTGAAAGACATGTTTATCCAAAGGTCAACCGGTGTTGCAAACAAGATCATTGTGACGAAAGTACAATTCCCGGGTACAAGTATATGAATGAACTGACAAAAGATTACCGGATAGGCATGCCTCACGAGCGGCAAGAACCACGGAACCGGTCGCATGCTTCCAGGGATATTCTGTCCACTCATTCACATACTACTTATTATGATATGATATATACGTTGTGATGTATTGGTAGGAATATAAATCACTGAAAACAAGTTGATTCGCCACTCTGACGTTTTGTTTGCAATATTTAAACGTTACTGACCAGATCAAACGTAAATTTTTTCATCCTGTTTCGCTCCTTTGATTTTCTCTGTTTGTTTTTTTGTTTTTATTTTTTATTTTTTTTTATTTTTCAGACCGAGAGGACGTATGGAAGCATTTTTCTCATCCGATGTGGATCAACATGCTGTGGATTTGGTAAAAAAGTTTCTAGTTCTCAATCCATCCAAACGACTGACTGTCGAACAAGCTCTGAGTCATCACTATGTGAAAAAGTAGAGCCTTTTTTTGTTTCAGATTCAATTTTCCTACTCACTTGTCTCTCAGATTTCGAGATCCGAAAAGTGAAATTGTCATGGATCATCCGGTCACACCGGTACTCCGAGATGATCAACAACTGAGCGTGTCAGACTATCGGGAAAAATTGTACGAGGTATGTGATCTGATTGTGGTCCGGTCGCGTGTGCTCGTGTGTTTCTCTGACTCGTCTGATACACATCCGATTCTATGCAGATTATTCTGGAAAAGAAAGCTCAACGACGTATTCGGCGTATGTTGCGTTCAATGGAGCTGAACAGTGAAGGACAAACGACACCGGGCTGTTCGGTACGTCCAATATTGTTTGAGCACGTAGATGGCTGGATGACCTGAAGGTTGTGCGTAGTAGTGATCAGGTCTGAATCAGTCTAAATCAATATTATTTCTGTTTTATTTCACACCCGAAATTACCGTGCAAAACCGGATGGTTACTTTTAACCTGATGCGCCACCTTGGATTCCTCAGTCGCCTGCTTCATATGCCTGCTCACCGTATTAATAACCGCCGATAAAGTTATGGTAACCACGAGTCGTCTGTCTGAAATGGAGGCCCAGGATTTGGTCAATAGCAATAGCAATCCTCCAGGGTCGTGATCACCCAGGCATACACTCTTGAACGATGGGCAGAATATGTTAAGGCACAGTTTATCTGGCCCCCGTAGACACTTCACCTCCAAATTTAGACATCTGTGGCACCGTCACGGCATCCAACTGTCTGTGAAGGGTCGAGTGTATGCTGCGGCAGTTGAACCAGTGCTGATAAACGATGCAGAGAGTTGGCCATTACGGAAACAAGATAAATATATATTGTCGGTGTTTGAACACCGTTGTTTACGCAGCGTTGCACGGGAAAAGGGAGGAGCAATACTGAGGCTAGGCGTAGAGTTTTGAGTAACCGCAGTCGCCCACTGGAGCAGGCAGTCGACCTCCATAGATTACGTTGGTTGGGACATGTGTTACATGTCACCAAATAGGTTGCCAAGGCGAGCGTTGTTCGCCGATGCATCACCGCCTTCCGTGTCGACCGCTGGTTACGACTACTTCTGAGCATGGCTAAAAGAAGCATCATAGTGACCAGTTCGAAGTTTTGCAGACGACAGTTAAAAACCAGCGTTGATCCTAGTTGGTCATTAATAACTGTGTGGACAACTGAAGAACTCTGTCTGGATATAAAACCAACCATCAAAACCCTTTCCTATAGCCTGGTGTTTTTGAGATGAAGCAGGTATTCGGGTTGTCACAATCGCAGGCTTGTTTTACATACACTTCTGATAACTCTTAAGAAATTAGATGAACTATAGATTTTAACTGCATGGAAGGCCTTATTCCTGACATATCCNCCAACACAGTTCCCGTGTCCTGTTCCTAGCTGAAGTTTCAGTTTCAGTTTGAGTAACCATTAACCATGCACTATCGTGCACCGGTTTTGGTTGCTGTCTTTTGGCTGCCCATTCGGATGAACAATGGTAGAAAAACAGAAAGTTGAAAGTAGAGTCCGAAAGAAAATGGAGAATTTCATTCGAAAAATATCGTAAAGAAATTGAGAAGATACACGGATGCCACTGTTTACGACTCCCAGCCTTATCACTCAGTGTCTCTCACCATCGGTTACGACCATGCCGAAATCCCCAGCCGGGGAGCCTAACGATATCTTTATAACCCAGTGTCATGGTTAGCCTTTCATACCATCATGCCAGGTCTTAGCTTGACCACCCTTGGCTTTTTTCCATCCGCTACCTGCCTCA